TTAAGATGTTTATGAATTAGGCTCAAGGGAAAAACTGCTTCTCTTGTACTGAATGAAATACAATACATCTTATGAGTGACATTTTTTACTCATATCTATTGAAGATAAAATAAAATAGCAGATCTCTTTTCTTTTACAAAGTAATATTCCAATTCATCTATGAGTACCTCTAACTTTGTAATTTGCTAGTTTTTATTTTTTAAAATACACTCCTATAAACTGAGTGGCTCTCGTATGTCACAGAGACTCCACAGTATGTAGAGTATAGGCCTAAGAACGTATTTATGTCTTAATATATAAATATAAAGCATTTATGATTTAATAACTTTCCTCTGTCTTGAAATGATAGAAACAAAAAAGGAGGAAAAATATAAAATCTCAAATCTTTAGGATATCCATAAGTAAAACCAAAGAAAAAAGGTACTATTCCTATAAATTATGAACAAATAATAGATTCTAGTTGGCTCAGTAATTACATATGATAAACACATGGGTATATATTTTTCTCTACTTGCTTCACTAAAAATAAGGTTTATTGGTGATTCTTAGCTTCTTTCTGGGTCATCTTTTCCATTGATTGAGGTTCTCATATCACTTTCTCTAAATCCCCTCTTGGCATGAAATGTCTGCATCACACCAGTTTAGCACTTGGTTACATACTATTACAGATGTCTCTATAATGGCTACTTGTCACTCAGGCAAGAAATATTTATGAGCATTTACTTACTGTGAGTCCCTGGGCTAGGAGCTGAGCATATCATGATGGACAAGACAGATTTTGTCCCAAGCCAAACTATTTGTTCTTCATGGCCTTTCTAAAAACACTTTACCTTTATTCCTCATTTGGCTAATGAATTCTATTAATCTGAAGAAAGAGCTGGCTACACTGAACAAGCATATTACTTGGTAAATTCTTGTAGAATGACTCAATGCAGGTTTATATCAAGGAAGTAACAAGCCTACACTTAACAAAACTACTCAAATACTTTTTTAAAGAATTAATTTCATTATATTTCTTTATTGCTCGAGATAAAGAGACTCTTTTCCAGACCTTTATTAAATAAGTCAAATAAACAAAATTATTTCAATTTAAATAAGTTAAATGAGTTAAATCCCTTCATTTAATCCCCTATTAAATAAGTTAAAGCCCCAAGCTGATACAGATCAGCTCTTCAGATAGACACAATTTTATCTGACATTGCTCATAGTTACCTGGGCCAGTCCTTCTGCTCCAGGAGGGCACTCGTGTCTCCTCTGCCATAATACCTTGCTTGTGTTTACTCCATCTCCTTACCTGGAAAACCTTTTTCTGTCCTTTCAAGTGACTCACCTTATTGGCTTTTAGGGATTCTCCTTTCTAAGAAGCCTCCCTGAAGGACCTAGTTAGGCCCTGCCACCACGGGCACCTATATACAGATCCACCCCTGTCTGTAACTATCTGGCATTTTCTAGAGGTTTCATATTCAGTATATATCTGGTGCCCTCTACTATACCATTAAGTGCTGTAAAAATGTTCTGCCTTCTCACTTTTTTGTCTTCATATTAAAGTTAGCTCAAGACAAAGCTGAGCACACAGCAACTACTCAGTGAAATTTTGTTAAATGGATGATGGATACAAAGTACTACCAGCATTTCCTTTGGACCCACAATCCTGCCTGGGAAAACAGAGTTTGGAGGTATCTGTAAGATAACGGTTTACAAGGGCATGATTTCAAATTTTTCTTCCTATCCCACAGGAAATCTAAAGGAAATGGGTAAATACTTGTAAGGCTGCAACCATAAATTCCACAAGTTGAATCTAATGAATCAAGTGAGGATTGTAGCAAATCGATGCCTCAGCACAGAAATGGATACGAGATCGTTCATTGGAATGAAAAAATGAAAAGTTCTTCTAAGAATATTTTAGGACACTTTTCAAGATGAGTTGGCTGTTGATAACCTGATAAACTTCAGCTTGCAGAACTTCATTTTCAGGATGCTTTAACTTTAAAAATCATTTGACTAAGATAGCCAAAGATACGTATATCTATTCATTATATATAATTATATATACACATATATACATACATTATATATGTGTATATACATAATGTATATATTATCTATATACATATAAGCATATATATATGGGAGAGCATTGCTGCTAAACATTGGCATGATAGAGTTTATTTGAGACAACCCTAGTAATTCAAGCAATTTCTATATAAGGTACTTGGGACTCTTGGATAACATCTGTCATGTAACTTAAAATGTTTACAAGAGCAATATGAAAATATCAACATAATAATTTCCCCAACTGTGGTTATATATGCCTAATTATGAGCATAACTTACCATTGAGGCCATAAATAATAATGGAAAACTACCTGAATCACTGTGCTACACAATGAACATTTTACATCCTAAAGGACTTCCTAACGAGTGACACTAAAACTGTCCATATTTAACCACAATTTTGGCATAGATTTGGAGAATTCTACAATACACAAAGAAACATAAATGTTGAAATGTCAACTTATAGTTTATTTATAACACACTTGATATAATTTTTGAATGCTATTGCTATTTTGGTATGCGGTTATTACGGGCTTATAAAGCCCAGGATGAATACACATAATAATGACATCTCTAGAATTTGTGTGTGCCTCAGTCTGGCCTTCACACCATCCGTGGAAACAGAATGATGTTTCACCCTCATACCTCATAAACATCCATATAAACAAATGATAATGAGAGGCACAGAATCACTTCTGGAAAGTTCTGCCCACTATACTATATTCACCATGCCACACCATGTACCATACAACAAATGATTTGCTACTATATTGTTTCTCTGTCACCCTCCAAAGTTTTACTCTCAAAATACATTAAGTAAATTCCCTAATGAAGTTTCTAAACAATAAATTATAATTTCTTTTACTAAATATGTTTCATTCCTAATGGAATGTTAAAAATTTCACTTTTGATTCTAAAACTGTCACTCAAAAAGATTTCTGAAAGTATTTTTTAGTTATAAACTTGAGATCTTTCCTTCTTTCCCTCCTTGCCATCGATCTATAATCTATGTATCTATCTATGAATCATCTATCTATCTATCATCTATCTGATCTAACTCCCCAGTTCTGTTACTCTTCCAGTCTTCTAACCCAGGACTCAAATCCGTGCTTTAAATAACACAGACTGGCCTGAAGGCTGCAGCCCTCTGGCTTGTGGGGAATCAAGGGCTCTTGCTAAGTCACGTATTGGGTCTATTTCCAAGACCCTTGGCCTGGTACTTGTTCTGGGTTTTGAGTCTCAGGTACTACACCCTACATTCTCTGATTAACTCTTCTTCTTGGTCCTTTTTCATCAGCTCTATTCCAAGTGGTATTGTAATTGGTGCAACAGAAGGGCAAGGAAATAGAGAATCTCTGCCAGATTAGCAGTACACCCTTACTATTCACAAAAAAACTTTTTTCTCCTTTAATGAATAGTAATTTAATTGGTGCTGGATCTCTCCACCCTTGAATGAAGTGCAAATACTAAGTAGTATTGTGACACATATATTTTAAAGTGGATTATCTCGTGTTCTTTAATTGCCTAAAGATAATATCTGAAATTAATGATCAATGCTCTAACAAAACGCAAGAATAAACACTGAGAATACTGATAAATTGGTAACCACTATTCAGCTTATTTTCATATATTAATGACATAATATATAGAACCTCTAAGTTACCTGTCATGCTACAATTTTAAAAATTTGTTTCTTTAGAACCACAACTTTAAGAAAATGAACTTTATTTTTTTCCTGATTATAAAAGCATTACATGCTCATTATATCAAAGTTAGGATACACTTGCTAATAAATCAAAGAAAACTCATTAAAAAAAACATTCTTTTTGTTTTTGCTAACACTTCTTATGACCACAGATGGACTTATGAATTGTCTGTACATTGTTGTAGGTAATACTGTGAATTCGAGAAGAAAATAACCCAAAATATAACTGCATGGTTTCACATAATTCCTCCTACACACACTGGAACAAGGCACACTGATGAAAAAGTGACCAAAGTATGACTTGAAGAAAACTGCTCTTCAGCACAACCAACCACGGTGGGCTCCTGGCTGTAGAATGCTGATTTGCAATTTAGAACAGAAGGCTACTGAGGGACACAGTCCTTTCGCTAACGGTGGATCTCCCAAGAGGTGGAGGAGGCTGGGTAGATGCTGTCCCCGGCACGGGTGCCAGATACCAGCAACTCTCATGCCACAGGGAGAGGCCAGAGGAGGTTTGCCTGTTATGTGACCAATATCAATAAAGCTAGACCCCATCTAGAAGATAGAATCTTCTTTCCTAAAACATTTCCTTTATGAATTTTTACAAGTTATTTATAAATATATACCTTTGAAAATTGAAATGAAAAGTAATAGAATGGACAGCAAAACTGCAAACACTTAATCAAAAGGGACCTTATTACATTGAATGCTTTGGGTAGGGACTTTTGCCTCTAATATAAAAACACTTAAAAGAAATAGTGCCAGATATAGTCATTTTTTCATTATCTGTGCCTGAATTAAACATACATTATTTATGTCAAACATGAAGCCTTAATTGGTTTCTTTTAGCCACCAGTAATTATCTCTCTCACTACCAGTTAGTCTCAGAGCTCAGGAAATTGAACAGATTTCAATCTTAACCTGAGAAAAACATAACTAGTAAAATAACTCCGCTGTAATAGAATAACTCAATGCATTCGAAATCCATATGTAAATCATTTTAAGATGTTTTGGATTATCTGTAGCATTTTGAATACCACTCAGTGCTGGAGAGAAGTGAGAACAGAATGTAGCTTTTAAAATTATTTATTTCACTTTAAAAATGTTTTACACTATTTACTGCAAAGTTAAGACTTACTCTTCTTAAATCCAAAAGTATTTGGCATTATAATCCTGATTGTACACTATGATTAAAACAAACATTTCCAAGTTAAATTGCTATAATCGCTAAAAACACTTACCAATGGAAAATTGGAGGACAGAGGCTGTTGTTGTATTAAGGCCTGTGGTAATCTAGAACAAAAATATATACAAAAATCAGACAAGATAGAAAGAGAGAATGAGAAAAAAGAGGAAAGAAAGGATCCATTAACAGAGGCTGTATTTATCCAGTTGTTAGTTCATTTTTATCAATGTGTCTGAACACAGATATACTAATATTTCCTGCTCCTCTATGAGGAACAAAGCGGTGAGATGTTGACTTAGGCATGGAGAGTAAATTTCTCAGGGTCCTGCTGAAAACTGCTTTCAGTGGAAGGTCATCTTGTGAAGGTATCTAACATATGTCCTCTCTACCACCTCCCCTCCACCCTACCACATCAACAGATCCAGGACCCAAAGCGAATGTCATAAAAAAGCTACCAAACAAAAACTGGGAGGTAAATTAAAAGCGAATGAATAGAATAAGATTATTTCGAAAAGGAAATAGAACTACAACATGTAAAGGGTCCAGGATTTCTTTGAGGGTGGTGTGATAAAATGGTCTAAAATCGGTTATGATAATGATTACATAACTTGGTGAATAAACCAAAAACCCTGAATCATGTACTTTAAATGAATGAATGTAGAATCTGTGGATTATTTCTTAATAAAATATCCCCCTCCCCAAAAAAGAAAACATAGAATTATGGACATAGAAATAACCTTCCAACACAGTTCTGCTACTTTTCTTTAGTTTTACGAAGAAGCATGGTTAAACAAATCGTCCCCCTTCTGAAAGAGAATGGTACCTTATTTATTTTTAAAATTTTATTTATTTATTCTTTGGATCTTGCTTTGACCCATAGCAGCTCAAATGAGATGAGAATTAAGATTCTCATTTTGTTGGGTTCCTGAACCCTATCTGCTAAAGTATGGGATGCTTCACATGACTCCACTCTATAAAATAGAAGTGTATAACTGTGTTTCCACTGTGGCAGAAGAAGTGGGCTGTCCTACTTTTGCTTCTTACAGGTCTTAATAACATCTTTAGACATTTCCCTACACTTTGCAAGCCCCATGTGATAGAGTCCACAGCTGCAGAAAGGTCAAGTGCTAGACAGTTCATGAATAGCCTTAGGGAATGAGGGAGCAAGGCTCTTGCTCTGCCAGAATTCAGGTGAGATGTCAATATCAGAAGATGGGATGTGTGTGGATATCAAAAGATCTACATCATGATTTGGAAAGATGCCTGAACATGTGCTTTAACTATATGGCTTTCAAATTCAATGAGGAAGCAAGAAAGGTAATAGAGGGGAGGGCAAGAAAGACATTTTATAAAATGTCCAGCAAAAAGTATCAGTGTCAGCTTCTAATTTATTTTAACAAAAGCAAAAATCGCTGGTGTCAGAGTGATGGAGGAAATTCTCTCTATATTTAATTTGAATCCCTCATTATTACTGATTATGATTGAAAAGACAACTGGCCCACCATGCCCATATAACTCTGTTCCCTGTCCCCTTGCCCCGACCAGAGTCCTCAGACAAAAATATACCAATAAAATTCCCTTTAAAAGAAATCTGTTTTCTTCAGAGCTTTTATTTGTCCTCATGAGTTTCCACTTGGATAATTCGATCTTAAAATCCAAAAAGGCACAACACCAAAAGAGAAGTTTTTAAAAATTCACACATAAATTGAATGAACATTCTTTTCCCCTCCGATTTTATGTAACTGAATAGATTCCCAGGTGAATTATGAAACACTTCTAGATATAGGTTATTTAAAACAATAGTATTTTGTAAGTTAAAAGCATCATGGTTATGGTTACTGCCAGTGCATTAAATATACTAAAGAGTCTTAGATACTTATCCTGGTGGTGTAATATACTAAATGATGCTTGTGTAACCTCTGTGATAAGCCATGACCTCTAGCGAACAGCAAGTTGCATGAAATATTGCCAAATTTCAAATTCTATGTGCTAACTGAGGGTAACCCTAGACTTTGATTACTCATTGATTCTATTTTTTTTTTCCCTAGGGAGTCTAAGGACTAGTAGAATGGTTAATGCTCATTTTTTTTTTTTAACCTTTACCCATTTATTTTATTAGTAAAATTGTCAGCTATGAGAAAGACCAGAAAAGATGGGGGGGAGTGGATTGCCTTTAAAATCTACTCACCTATATTTACAATTGGGTATTATAAATTATTTATTGATCTTGAGTTCAAATATGTAATTTTAGTCTGTAAAGCTATTAAGCCTTTATATCTGGCATTCTGAAAACAAAAGGTCCTCTTAAAGAGCCTTTGATAAATAATATAGCAGCTATGAATGTCTGATAGAGAACTTTTTTCCTACCAAATCTCAGTGCTCTTAGATTATCAAATACACTCCAAACTAAAGAAAATCTGAAGAATTCACTGTAGGTGAAGATGTTGATTCTGCACCTCTTCCCTGCAAATTTTTATTGGGTTTCATACTATTTTAGCCCAAACTCATCCTTGTAATTAAAATGCATTTCCAAATATGGGAAAATAATTTAGTAAATAATTTATTTTAAAAAGTGGAGGATAACATAACTCATTTCATTTTAAATTCTGAGAGCACATTTTCCCTTAAAGGAGTGGGTAAATAAACTTCTCTTTACCTTCATTTTACAGTAGGAAAATGAACCAAGTTCAGGGTCACCACTTGAAATACAGACTTCGCTGGTTTAAATAAAACGTGTGAGGGCTGCATAGCACAGTAGTAGTAGAAATACAGACTTGTGGTATGTTCAGCTAACAACACGTGCCACCTCTTACTGACTCTGACTGCTATTGAAATGAAATCGCAATTTAACTAAATTCACAAAATGGAGATACTCTTTTGTGCATTTTAAAAGATAAAGCCTTAGCTTACTAAGGTTCTTTGAGGCTTTTTTGTCTCACAACTTTAGTAAGAATTGGATTTATGAAAAATAAGTAGGCATATTGTTTAAAAAGTGGTGTTTGGGGGCTGATAACTTTCATCAGTTCTCATGCGCAACAATTTTGACTGGTTCAGTTTTGAAGTATCATGCGAATGTCTGGATTTTAGTAAACATAACGTTAACTGACAATGGAATTCCTCACTTTTCATTTGATTGATCTGTCTTCTGTAAACGCAACTTGGGTACAATATATATTTTTGCTCTGGGACATTAACACAGTATAAAAATTATTGAATACTAGAAGTTGCTAGTGTAAACTGTGGACATCATCCCATCACTCTCAATCTATCCGATTCTATTCCCTTTGGATCTATAATACAAACTCATCTTAGGGAAATACTTATGAAGGAAATATAAAACTGTATACTTTTTTATTTCTCAGATGAAGATAATTATTTTGAATATTTTCCTTTTTAGTTGAAAGGCTAATCTCACATAAATTATATACAATTCAAACTTAGCCCACCATATATATCCACTTTAATGCTAAATAAACTGGGATCTAGTAAAACAATTAGGATTAAATATACATGGGATCACATAAACTAGATACTTCAGTTTTACGCTATGGAAATATGAATTATGGCATTATATTCTTAGACACTTTTATTTCCTATTAACCAGTAGAAACAAAAAGAATTTGCCAAGCATTTCCAGAAATATTATTGAATGGGGGCACCTTCTAAAAGAGGCATTTATTCTCAGCTCAATTAACTACGGTAAAAATTTAATTTTGTTTTAAGGTTTATAGATAATTAATTCAGTCATGGTACATTATTTAAAATGTACTAGTGAACCTATTTTTTTAAGAAAAACTTTACTACCAGAGTCACACTTGTCTGCAAGAATATTATAACACTTTGTGAGACTTGAATTATGAGCACCTATTATTTTAATTTGCATCCAATTAATTCTGTTTGTGTTCTAATTTCAACCAAAATCCCCTCAATTCATCAATGTTCTGAAGCTTGTATCTTTAATAAATTAAATGTATCTATTGCCATGAAAAGGGGTATTCAAGCAGCATAAAGTAAGAACGACGTTACAAAAATTAATTGGCTTTCACATTTCGATAACTAAATCTTCTTTTAATTGCCTACCTAGGCTTTTTTCTCCCTTTACTTTGGAAGCCAGTCTTTCGGCAACTTTTAAAGTTAATGATTTTGAAATACAATGTGTGACATAGGGGTGAAAAATACAACCTGTTTCTAAAAGCCCCCTGAAAAGGAAGATGTGGGAGAAAAAAGGAGAAGAAGCATCGAAGCCCAAGTTGAAAAGCAGAAAAGCAAAGCATAAGAGACATTATAACAACAGTATTAGGAGCAAAGGAATTGAGCCAGGATACTTATATCCTTTTTCAAGAAGGGAAAATAAATGTAGTCTTCATGCCAGAAAGAAGTACCAAGTAACAACAAAAGGCTCATTAGCCACATGTTGGTGGCTAGTGGTTTCATTGCTTTCAATTTGGAATGCGCATGTAAAACGAAAATTGTACATGTGATTTGGCAAGCAAAGACTAATAATCGGTCCAAATGAAAGGAAAATAACTTGCTCCTAAGTAATTTGGCATGAACCAGAATTTTTTAAAAGCTGGTTTATTCAGTGTGCTCTTTCACTTAAAAAAAATGCATCAAAGTTCCACTATTGTCAGGAACCAACATTTAAAAGTAATGTGATAAAATTGAACATCTAACATTTTTTACTCGAAAGGAGAAAATAAGGACAATTTGAAGAACATGGCTTTATACAAGAACTTAGAAAGTAAAAAATTATTTATTACAGGTATTATATAAAATATCCATATTTTTCAAAAGCCATCAAACAATAGTGATGCACCCATGTTTAATGACACTCACTGATGCTGCTAGTTTTATTACTGAATTATTTATTTTTACCTTTGAAAATAGACCATAAAAATCACCTCATAATATAAACAATACTTCAAATTTTTATCTGAACTATAAGAGTATAAGAGAAACTTCTGCTGGCAAAAAGCTCAGTAAACACACGAGTGGAATAATGTACATAAATAGCATATATTTACCAGTTCTCGTGGACCATATGGCTCACAGAAGGTGACAGCATTGCCATGCATAATTGCACCGCACTGTTCTCCGGTCTCACAGTTGTTACATTCAACCCTGCGGGAACACAGAGCACAGTCCCAGTCTGAGAACTAAGCAGCACAAGGTGGTTCATTGCTCAGGTAAGAAAAGATGTAATAGTTACTGTCACTCAGTTCAAGTCACCATTTTGAGAAAGGTAATGGTACTTTGTATAATAGCAGGGTTAAAAAGACCTGAAACCAGAAAGACTTAAATATAAATCCCAATTCTTTCAGTTACTCACTGTGGTGGGCAAGTTACTTAACCTCCCAAAGTTTCAGTTTCCTCACTTACAAAATGAGGATAACGATACCAACCTAAATCTCGCATAGCTATCGTGAGGATGAAATGAGAGACTATAAAACACAGAATACAGAACCAATCTCGTACTAGGCAGTTAATAATGCAAGATGGTATTATTATCAATATTACATATCTGTATGACTGATACAAGGATGTCTGCAGGTATTAAAAATAAGCAAAGTAATATCCACTTATGTAATGCACTAAAAACCTATGTCTCTGAAATCAAAAGATGTTTAACAAATTTTAAAACTTTTTCTTCTGAGCTATGGTCAGTGTAAATGTTTAAAATAACTGTCCTCAAACAAATTTGTATGTATACATTCCACCATGCTAAAAATAATGAAATAAGACTACATTATCCTAAGTGAGGTATCTAAACAATGGAAAAACAAAAACTACATGTACTTGCTATTAAATGGAACAAAAAGATGAGTACACATGTGTACAGAGGGAAGTAAAACTCAGTGGAAATCAAGCAGGGGGAGGGGAGAGGAGAGGATGGGTGAAAACCTACCTAATGAGTACAATGTACATTATCTGGGTGATGGGCACACCTATGACATTGACTCAAGCATAACAAAATCGATACATGTAACCAAAAACATTTGTACCCCATAATATTTTGAAATAAAAAAAGAAAAAAATAATCAAATACTTTAAAAAGTTTAATTATATAATAAAGTAAAAACCTTCAATGAAATGTATGATTTTTGGTATTAGCATAATGCAATAATTAAGAAAACTATTCACCCTTTCCACCAAAGAAGGCAAATTTTTTTTTAGTGATTCGCAAATTTGTTCAAACTTTTAGCCACTTTTATCTGCTCATGTCATAGACAAAAATGTGATAATCTGCCTAATTTGTTCTATGAGAAAAATAGGATTATTTTTAAAAACTATTAAATATATCTCCAAATAATTAAATAATGCTAATAGCAAAAAAGGACTACATTTAATCTACATATTAGTATGAAATATATATAAATTCTAATTCAAGCAAATTTTGGACACTGAGTTACTATGTTAACCTTGCAAATAATGTAAAGCCGCTATCTTTATTACTATAAAGTGGTTAATGAAACCCTAGGACAGGATCTAAAAAATATATTTATTCATGTCTTTATCTAGTAGAAGATATGCATGTTCTGGATTTGACCTTGTATATTTACAGTTACATTTACAATGCTCTGCACTGTGACATTTCAACCTACAATCATTACATGCCTAGAAAGAAAGAGCTATGTTTCCCTGTCTGAACCTCAAACCACATGAGGGCTGTATTTCATGCAGAAAGAACATTTTCAAAGACTTTCACATTCCAGGTGCCAAACATTGTGGAAAGGGCACTATGCCCTTTGTTTCAGAGATTATTGTATTACGCTCTTTCAGCTGTTTGTTAATTTCAGAGAGAAGGAGAAGGAACTCCCATCCAAGTAGGAAGACGACAAAAGTGTGAAAGGAGCCCATAAAGCCAAGAGGCAGAAGCATAATAAATAAGTGGAAACTTGGCAAATAAATGTCAGTACTTCCTATGTTTAATGCATGGAGTAAATGATGGGTATTATTCTAATCTTTTGAGCTGCATTTCCACACAAGAACACAACGCCCAAGAACTTTAATTTTTTTATAGAAAAAACAAAAAAGGATTTTTGATATGGAATTTGAAATGCTAGTATCTCACAGCATCACAAATCTTCGTAGGAGATTTAACGCTTCTCTTGATTACTGTGGGGCAGGATGATAACAAAATGTCCTTGACATTAGAGGAGAGACGTAGTAATAGCTTCATAATGACAACAAACCTGTCTCTTGTTCACCATTTATGGCATGTTCCTTTATGGCATGTTGTATTCCATAAATATTTGTTGAATGAATAAATGAATATAAGACAACTTCATAAATACAACTATTTTTAAGGTCTGAGGTCTAAAGAACTCAGAATAGCATGATGTGTTACCTGCTATTACTATTATTATCATGGATTTCTACCACTTTCATCTACTCCAGAACTGGAATATTAGTTTCCGGCCCCTCCCCCAGAGAACCTATTATTACATGAGCAACTTACTACTATTTTTCTATTAATAATTCTTTAAACTGATTATGATTGTGATAAAAGTACAGAGAAGTAGCACAAAAATTATGGTGGGTTTCATTGGTGATAGATGAGGATTATTTGGCTTCCAAGTCATTGTGAAATGGCTTGAGAGAAACATCAACTTTGACAAAGAAAGAAGTGAAGGAATGTAGAAATCACACAGTGGCTCTCTGCCATTGCCTCCAGTGACTCTAAACTAAAAGTGTCACTCCTGATGTGAAATTTGGGGCCTGCTTTTTAAATTTCTATAGCAATCATTCTATCTACACGTATTGGTCAGCAGTTTCCAAATCAACCATATATCAAAAAATGTATATATGATGTATGTATTACAGGTCCCTTCTTCCATAGTTTTGATTAAACAGAATTCAAGTAGGACCTGGATAACGGTATATTGTTTAAAGGTGGTGGCCTACAGTCTGGAATTAGGGAACCTTGAATAGACAACAGATGTTTGATGTGTTTGGAGAATCACTTCTATTTTGTGGAATAACAAAATAGTAAACACAAGAAAAGAGCAAACATATACAGCTATTCTTTCCATTTGACTCAACAACTCCTCCAGACCTTTCTCTTCTTCATTGTGCTTTCTATATCCAGAAATTTAAAATAAAATTTAAAAGGCATTGGTACCCTATTGAAGAAACTAAAAGATTTATAATTATTGGATATTATCCACTGGGGTTGCTGCTATTTGGAAAAACAATGGCTTCACCAAGGACTGACGGGACAAATCTATCAGATCCCTGCCAAGGTCTTTTAGATGTCCTTTGCTTGAATTTCTCACAGTCTGGGTTTGTCAACATAATTTATTTTAATTTACCCTGAATGCCCATCCCTCTAGGTGGTCAAATCCAACCCTCTCTTAGCTTCCTGTGTTGCCATTTATTCACTTGTCATTTATTAATTCATTCTTGTATTTAGTAAACTTATGTTGAGGATTTGCAGGCCCTGTGGTATAAAGACCAATAAAACACCATCATTTTCTTCCAGGAGCTTACACTCGAAATGAAAAGGCAGAGAAGTAAACAAACAATTACAACAGAGGATGTCAATGCAATGATAGCTATTTATTGGATTCCATTATGTGCCAGATCCCGCAGGGGCAGGGAACCTGCAGCCTCAAGACCACATGTGGCCCTCTGGATCCTTGAATGCGGCCCCGCGAACAAATTAAAAGGACGCATTCTGTAAAATTTGGATTCGGTCAAAAGGCCATACTCAAGGATCCATAAGGCCACATGTGGCTCCAAGGTCGCAGGTTCCCCACCCCTAGAACTTAGCCTACAGTTTGCAATTTGGACCTAGAGCTTGCTAACTCCAATACTCACGACACTTTTCGTTGCTCCTTACTCTTTATAACAGGAATATACACTGGTTGTGATGGTACCTAATCCAGACTGGGAAGTAAGGAAAAGCTTTCAAAGAAGGGGGCCCCAGAACTGGTCCTGAATCAGAAATAGAAGTTACTCAAGCAAGGAAAAAAGGTGAGTGTGTAATAGGGCACAGGAAATGCAGAAATCATGACATACGAGCTTAACTATTAGTTCAGTGGGTCAGTATGGCTGGAATCATACTGTACATGTAGAAGGACCACAAAGGATGGGGCTAGAAAGTGGGGACCAGTTCATGGAAGGCTTCACGCACTATTTGCCAAGCAACAGGTACTGATAGGAGCTCCACAAACAATACCTCAGTTAATTCGTATAAAACCCTCTCCCTCTATTTTTTATCCTCATTTAGTAAACTGCAGAACTGGAATTCAAATTCCCGTTGTTTCCAAAGTCATGATGCAAATCCAACTTTAGGAAAATTACTGATATTATAGAAAATAAAGGATTAGAGGTAGAAAAGACTGGGGGCTACAGATGTAACCCAAGTAAGATACAATAATGCTTTGAGATAAGGTGGGGATGGAGCAAAGTAGAAAAGCCATTTCAAGTGTTCCACAGCCATATGTGACTGGCACGTACAATATTAATATTATTCAGCATGACTCTACAGAATTACAGGACTTGGAAACTGCCTGCTTTCTGGTTCTTCTGACAGTTGGAGATGACCAGTCGAACTTTTACAACTTCAGTGAAAGGAGATTGGGACCAACATGACAGGTTAAGATCTGGCTGAAATCATGGAAGTATATATTTTTAAGGGTTTGGGGAGAGGGGAGGGTATACAAAGTAAGAAGAAAAGAATGGATCCCTGGGGAGCAATCACATTGCTCTTGGTCTGGTCTGGAAAGCTCTAACCACCATCATGACCCCTCAGTGTGTATCAATCCAAGCCTATCTCCATTTACTCTTCCATGATTATTGGCACTGGGGTTCACTTCTATACATGTTCCTAACCAACCTGTGCTGCCCATCAAAGTGAGTTTCCCAATATTTTTTCTATCATTAAAGTTAAGCATTGTACAACTACTCATAGGAATGTCATTATCATAAAGGGAAAGATAAATCATGAACACAATGATCCCAATAGAGACCAGACAAGACGATACAGACAGCAAACTGGTGGTCATGGCTTCCCAGAAGAAAACAAGGTTAATGTTAAAAACATACAGATGTAAATAAACATCTAAATTCCAAGAAAAGTAATTCCTGGCTCACCCCAGAATTTGAAACAATACTTA